TGTTTGGCGAAATGCGTGAAGTATTGATGCAGTCTTGTAGGCGCTATGCCGTTCGCGTCGATCGCTGCTGACCGCACTGTGTTTGACGCAATGCGTGAAGTATTTATTCAGTCTTGTAGGCGCTATGCGTTTCACGCCGACCGCTGGACCGCTGCTGCTGACCGCACTGTGTTGGACGCAATACGTGAAGTATGCGTGCAGTCTTGTAGGCGCTAATATGTGTTACATGCCGACCGCCGCGCCGAGGCGAGGGCTTCTGCTTTTCATCGCAAGTCCTCGTCATCATTGCTCTCTGCGCCACGCTGCTCCAGGCCAAATTGTGTGTTTGGTTTCTCTCTTAACTCGACTAATTAAAGGTGCTGTCTCTTGTATCATCGAAAGACGACAAAATTAGAAATCACTATATTCTCAGGAAATGAGAGATTTTGTTGCCTTTTCTCGTTTGTATTTTTTTATATACCTACATTAAAAAAAAAAAATGCATAATTTGCCGCCACATTGGAAAAAAACACATTGGATCTAGAGTCCAGACTCTTGAAAACATATACAAGAAAAATACTCTTGATTCAATCGGATTTTTGATTGAGTCAAATCGAAAAATCCGCTTAAACTAAGAGGCTTGGTTCTTGATTTAAGCTAGATTCTGATTGAATCAAGAGTACTTTTTCTTGTCGATGTTTTTAAGAGTCTGGACTCTAGATTCAATGTGTTTTTTTCCAGTGCATGGGCAGCGGCCCATGCGGCCATCCCCTAAATCCAGCCCTGGTAGCAGCATCATTTAGGTATGATTTTTATGTTAAAAAATTAGTGACATCATCTCAATAAATAGCCATTATTCCCGGTGTTCTGTGACAAAATTTCGTTCATTAGGTGCTTTACTTTACGCTTCACAGGATTTATTCTTTTACCTTTGATCCCACCTCATACAGCACTTTTGGTTGTGTAAACACAAAATCGATGAAATTCGACTTGCGCCTAATATTCGAAGTGAAATAGGAGATGCAAATTCTTAACTAACCTCTTTGCGGAATTTCAGGAGCCTCTGCGTTCTCATCCGTGCCAATATTTCCGATCCTGAATATCCAGAGTCCTGGAGTACCTGTGTTTGACCATCTGAAATAAAACAACAAATAAGAAAATCAAGAAACGCATTGACGAAAGACAGTGATTAAATTCTAATCAATGTTATTCTATTTTCTTTTTTTTTTGATAGTGCGATAAATACCCCGGGAAAAAGTCGTAGTTTAGCAAGTTAGTTTAATGGCCTCATATGATCTCGAGTTTTAAAGGATACACGAAACATAAGTTGAGTTCTTGAATTGAATTAACTTATTTTGAATGAATCAAAAATAAAATATGGTGTTTCTACGACAATTAATCGTCGAATGTTATCCTCAAAAGCTTACAGGCGCGAAACTGGATATGCCGTATGTAGTTTGCGGTGTTTTGGAATTTCCGTTCATAGGTACTTTATTTTTCATTTTTTCCCCCCTACTGCCTGAATTTTGCAGCTGAGAGTTTTAAAGAGAAAAAAAAAATCCTGAAAAGGGGGGAAAATGAGACGCAAAAACACTGAACATAGGTCTAATTGAATAAGGAAAAAATGAATAACAAATTAAATTTACAGGATATCTGCAGGGCGTCTCAAAACGAGTTATATCGTTTCATATTTCCATCATTATCCTTCATTACAAAGGCCACATACACATAGGGAGAGGATTGCCATTTCAATCCTTTCCCGAAAAACTTTGCCACTATCTGATTGGTCCATGAATTCACTGAGAAGATAATTCCGGCCGTGGAAGCCGGACTTGCGCACTACATAAACATACCGTCCGCGTTCCGGGCGTAGCATCCGGAGCAATTGAAGCTACGGCTGCAGCACCCGGAACTTTTGGACCCTGAGTCCGGAACGGACGGTATGTCTATGTAGTCCGTGACTTTTTTTCAGTATTTTAAACCAAACAAAAAATTCACGAAGCTTCATTTTGATCTATTAAGAGAGTGGAAAATGTACACAAACCTATCGAGATGAATGCTCTGGTCCGTGCCGGAGCCTTTGAGGGTGACCATGCGACCGTCGGTGGTGACCAAACCGGCCTGGGCCTTGGCATCGGGGAGCCCGGAGCGAGACTGCGAGATCCCTGTCACCCATTGGATACCGTTGTCAGCGTAGAGGAACTCCACGAACGACTCCACCCCATTCGTCGAAATGCAAATTTGGTAGGTATTCACCTGCAATCCATTAAATTAGGTACAACCTCACCGAAAAAAAATATGCTGATTTAACATTCTGGACGTAAAAAAGTGTGTGAGAACTCACAAAACATCGCATTTACCGCCACAGAAGTTAGTTTTACATCTTGACATTGCTGAGGTAACTGCTGTACTGCCATGCTAAGGAAACACGCCGTATTAACCTTCAGGCGTTGCCAAAGTTCCTTTCTTAAAACGCGAATTTGCTGGTAAAATGAATATTTTCCTCCCAATTTTTCAGATAATTTTGTTCGCAATTTCACCTAAAGATTCTGAAAATTTAAAGGAAAAATATTCATAGCGTTCCTCAAAAATGAACATGTCATCGGAGGAAATTTGGCACCTCTCGAATGTTCATACGGCGCTCTTCTTTAGCATGGTAGCGGTTAATTCAGCGTTTTTTGGGCTCTCGTTTTAGGGCCACTTACGTTTGTAGTTAATCCAAAGTGTTTTCGGTCACAAATACTTATGTCATGTGTACCATTGTGCACACATACCTGACGGAATACACGTCTACTTCTCATATTAACATAAAATGTCGATTAATTTATCTCACTATGTGCAAGCTGAACGAACTCAAACTGCAAAAAAATTTTCCCTTCGGTAGTGGGATCGAGAGATAATTATTGACTTTGGCGGGAGTTAAATTTTCAAAGTGTAAGCAAAATACAAGGTGGAAAACAAATTAGGAAGTTGCTTACTAACAGAAATTCTGTAGACCGATTCTAATTATTGCCGTATTTTTTCAGTTCCTGAACTGATAAACATACCTCAAGGAATGCAAAATTACAGTTAATGATAATTGATTTTTTCTTCAATCAAATAAACGTGTAGATACAAATTACTAAAAGCATTGGTTATAAAAATAATTATCAACATAAAATAAACAAAAAAACACGAGAGTAAGGAGGAGAGACCGATAACCTAGTGTTCATTTTAATATGAGACAAATAAGTGGTGTATCGTTGATTATGCTTACAATGTTCTGACCGGCTGATAAAATGCATTATCATTGTAGGAGCGAATTCAAACCACACCTATCTGATCACCTACATTTTTGGTGACCTTTATGAGGTGCAGTTTTTTGGACTCGCCTGAATTTAGGTCTGGCACCGGAAAGTAATTTTTATCACGCGCACTTCTTGCGTTCATTTCTTCTCATATTTGTAACGCAATAAAAATTAACCCAATACATCATCGAAAGTAGGCCAGTTGTGAGCTTTTATCGGCCAAGTCTGTATGGTTTTTTGGAGACGTTTGTTGATTCCATTTTTGATGACTATGCAGCATCAATTTTTTGTAGTTTCAAATCGTAGGACATAGGCGGATCCAGGGAGGGGCGTAGGGGGCTTAGCCCCTCCCCCGTTCGCCCGTAATAGGGAGGAGAAAAAAGGAGGAGAGAATGAAGAAAGAGAAGAAGGATGGACGCTTATATTTGGTAATTATTCATGACAAAATTGACTCAAACTGCATAACTAATGGCTTTAAAATTTCAAAAATTTTCTAGATGAGCCCCCAAGACCCCCCTTCCGCCCTCCCCGTTCGAAATATCTGGATCCGCTTAAGTCGTAGGAGCTCCGTACGTCTATACTTGGCTACTTACTAAGATTCAAAATCAGTGAACATTGTAATGCAATGTCTGAAGGTAGTAGCACTAAATATATTGGAGTTTGGCTTGTAGCCGAGAAAAAAAATTGTTATAAAATTGTTAATAAAATGTAAGTGTTTTTTTGAAACATTTTTGCATTATTTCTAGCACTCGGCTACAAGCCAAACTCCATTACTAAGGTTTACAAAGTAATCCTTTGCTGCCCTCCTCAAACCTCCCCTCAAGAGAACACGCCGCCGCTTATTTGCGCTGGACATGTGACAGCGTTTTGATATAGTTTAAGCTTACAGATTAGCAAAAATTAATAAGATCAGTTCAAAGGCCAACACTACGCCCGACACTATGGATGCTATCTCCCAATCGAACAACGCGACGTATTACACCTCACCACGGTTGTGCCTGCAGCAGTGGTTTCTTCAATCTTGGTTTCATATGCGTTTTACGCCGAGCAACCAGTACAAATATGAATGTGTAACTGATTGATGAGGTTAAGGTGGCCATGGTTTTCACTGCCAGTATATGAAAAACGTCCTACGCCGAGTTTTTGTTGAGCAATATCTCCGTTATGATTGGACGTATAGAAACGCGGCGTTTGAATAGATCTTATCATTTTTCTGATCTGTATAAGCTTACCATAAAAACACGATCCCATGACCAGAGATGATTTCATTGGACCCAGAAACATCTTATTATCGATACCTTCCTCAATAATTTGTATCAGCCTATTATCAAATGGACCACGTTAAGAAGAGAAGAATCAAGCCGCATTAGCTATTGTCAATTGCAATTGGGAAATTTAATTTATTTAAAAAACGGTTGTGCGGATTTTTGTGCAAACGGTGAATTTTCTGCATAATGCGAAACAAATGCCTTAAAATTTTCAAAGGAATCCGCACAATCGTTCTTTTGTAAAAAATGGAAAGGCCCAGTTAACTTTTGCTATAGCTGATGTGATTTGGTTCCTTTCTGCTGAACGCGGTCCACCTCACTGAAAAAACATCTCGGTGTATTTACTATGAAAAGGGTAAAATTACCAAGATTTCAGGGTTCTATTTGATCCCAGTTTTGTCTTGGTAAAATTACCAATTATGGAATTGGTAATTTTACCGAGAAATCTCGATAAAATTATTGAACTTTCTCGGTAATTTTACTGGACCTCAGTAAAAACGCCAATATTTTTTATCGACTGTGGTAGAATTACCGAGATAAAATGGCAAAGTTACCGGGAATTAGTTACCACTATAAGTGGTATTCTTACCTGAAAAAACAGTAAAAATACCAGTTTTTAGGTAAGCTCACCAGTCTGTCTTGGTAAAATTACCAATAATTGGTAAAAAAGTGAGATGGTAAAGGTACCAACGGACCTTGGTAAAAACGCCGAGAATTTTTTTTCAGTGCCTTCCTCAAGAATTTTCACCTTCCTATCATAAAATATGAGGAACGTTACAGTTTATTCGGCATTCGTATAGGAACTGGAATGGTCAAAAACGAGTTGAAAAAGGTTACCTTATCCCTTCCGCTGTCGTAGTAGCCGACTCTGAGCCAGGTGGTGATGAAGGCGCTGGTGGCCTGGTAGTCGCGGGCTGTGTTGGGGAAGAAGGAGCGGGCGTTGGTTTCCCGGTAGAGGACCTGACCGCTGCCCCGCAGGTCCACGTTCGTGTAGAGCGGCGCGATGATCGGGTAGTCCAGCGGGAACTCGAGGTTGTAGAACGTCGGGATGTCCGTTAGGAACGACACCAGTCCGTTCGCGTTCACCTGCAACGTAACAAAATGTTAAACTCCATACTACATCGAGGACTTTTTTACCCTTTAATTTGGACGCAAGAGGACAAAAACATGGACTGCGTTAAGCACACGAAGAAAAAAACTTCGTGCGTGGGACCTGAAGTTTAGGTCATATGGCTCTCTGAAGTTTTCAGATTGAGCATCTGAACTCTTTAGGTCCTGCTGCTGAGGTTTGGATCACACATCTGAAACTTCAGTTCTTACATCTGAAGTACTTCGGTTCTCACATCCGAAAAACTTCGGTTCTCACATCTGAAGTACCTCAGATGTAAGAACTGAAGTTTCAGATGTGTGATCCGAACCCCGACAGCTGGACCTAAAGTGTTCAGATGCTCAGTCTGAAAACTTCAGAGATCCACATGACCTAAACTTCAAGTCCCACGCACAAGGTTTTTTTCTCCGTGCAGAAAGGAACCAAGCCACATCAGCTATCGCCAAAAATTGGACCATTTAATTTTTTACATGAAAACAGTTGTGCGGATTTTTGTGCAAATTTTAGTGAATTTTCTGCACAGTACGAAGCAGATTCCTTAAAATTTTTGAAGGAATCCGCACAAACGTTCTCTTGTTAAAATTAAATCGCTCAGTTTAATATGCCAATAGATGTGGCTTGGTTCCTTTCTGCTGAATCTGGGTGGGTAGAATAAGGCTGATAGAAACTTCTGGCTGAAGTCAGATTTTGAAGTCATACACGGAGAAAACTACTTCCGATATACAAGGACTGAACTTCATTTCATATGGAGCGTAGACATTCTTAGTTCAGAAAACCAAAATTCTCAGTCCTGAGAACCAAACTTTAGTTGAGATAACTGTAGTCTAGAAAACCTAAAGAATATACGAGTGTTTAGTATGGCTGACAAAAACGTGGCTCATCTGAACTCAATTTCGGTTCTCATGACTGAAAACCTTGGTTACCTCGGCTGAAAACTTACAAACTGAAGTTTTTTTTTTCTCCATGAATTAAGTTGGAATCATGTATTCAATGCAGAATTTTTCATTTCAAAAGCGTTTCAGCTCTTGGAATGCAAACATTTATGAAATTCCCATTTTTCTTAAAGAATGTGTTATATTCATCGTACGATTTTAATGTCATATTTTCAAAAACAGTTCAAGCTCTTTACTTGCACGTTGTCCCCTTACTATTTCTGGCCTTAGCTGAGGGGAGGGGCTCCCTTCAGAGGTCCGTGTGGTCTTCTCTACAAAAATCCTGATTCCACTCATGCTCATAATTCCTACTGCCACAGCATGAATGTGAGTTGAGAAAAGCGCTCAAAACTGGCAACTATTTCAACTCCAAAGTCAACCACATTGCCTACTTAACTACTTGCAGGCGATTTTACTGCCGCTAAACATCTATTTGTTGATGTAGTTGTGATGCTGGCACATGATCCGCTGAAAAGGCAACACAGCTGACCGGAGTCGTATCTTACAGTCGCATTGTTCCTTAAGATCGCACTTAATGGTTTTTTTTACTTTGAACTGTGGGTTCCCGCGGCTCTGGGATCGGTATGCACCAGGGTATTCGGTATCTGCCTTTCAAATGTGTTGATCGGTTTGAGTGGAGAATTGACTCCGACTGTGGGAATGCAAATTTTCCAACGTATCTGTATTTCTCACGGTTGCCAAACGTATTAAGAAGTGGAACTGTCGGATTTCTCTCCCGAAATATTTTTCAGCCCAACCGTGAGAAAAGTTCTCTGACCGCGCAGGTGAAAAGCGTAAACTCAACAAAACTTAGCCTTTGCAATCAAGTGCAGATTATTAGCAAGATTCATAAAGGAAAAATAAGATAATAGAATTTTTGAGATCTTCGGAAGATATTGACAACGTGTGGTTTATGAAAATAACGTCTTAGGTACTTGAAAAAGGCTTAAATTTTCCTTTAAATTATGCCAAAAAAAAGGATCCGCTTCCTCATTCTTTGAATTGCGGACATCAACTCCACCCCTAGGCCTCAACAAGTGCGAAAGGCCTCAGCTAGAACAAATTGGAATCAAGTTTGAGACAATTTGGAATAAGTTCGAATGAGTTTTCATACAAAATTTTTCCCCTCAGATTTTGGGGATGGAGAGTTGAACTTCCATTTCGTGTGCATCACAAGTCAATTACCAATTGAAATATTTTGAAGACTATTTTCAAAAAAAAAAAAATTGCTGACATCGCGTTGAACATTCGCTCAAAATATGTTAAAATGCTTCCCTGGGTTTTCTTTTGGATGTTATCCGGCTGTTTCTAAAATATTTCAATGATATGTTTTTGGTTTTTTCTTTCAAAGTGTAGGACATTCTCTAAAATTGTGTAAAATAGTACGTTCAATGTGAAATTCATGAAAATTGTCTTTTTAAATATTTTTTACACCAATATTTTAAAACACTTTTGATCCGGCTAAAATATGGAGGGGCTAGGCAAAAAATTAGAAAAAAGCTGTTCCCAATTTCACGCACATCCTGAATGGAACACAGAAAAACTACTTTGACAAATTAAACAATGGAGAATTTGCAAGGGTCTAAAATTTGATGAATTTTGTGTTGAAGTGGAATCCACTGAGTGAACTGAACCCGAAGATACCTTTTATTCATGAATTGAGCAATTATTAGAGGAGATACGACAAAATAACCGATTCTGCTAAAATACACGTGTTTAAATGGGAAATTCCGCCAGATGACGTCACTAGGGGGTGCATTTTCTCACTTTTAAATAAATTTTTCCCCGATTTCCCATGTCAGAAAAAAATTATGTAAAGTACTGCAATCTCAGTTCATTAGGCACTTTCAGATGAAGTAACCAAATTTTTGTGTGTTAATTCTCCATTTCGTAGTTAGAAAAAGGGTCCGACATGTCTCAATGTAGATTTTACGGTAAAAAATGTTAATTTAACTGTCCCCGTGGTTAAATTAGCTTTCCAATATTGTGAAATATACACTTAAAACATGCCGGACATATTTCTTAAGACTTTAATTGTTAAATCAGAATTTGGTTTTTCTGTATACTCCCAATTCTACACACATCCTCCATAAAAGCCGGCAACGCGGCTGAGAATGAAGATAAAGCTCGGACGCAAATGAGCGTTGTTCGGAAATGTCGCGAATTAAACGGTCAATTCCAGTAGCCTCTCGATCGTCGTCGGCGGGCGCGGAGGAGCCGGCGCTTGCAAAGAGGAACGATTAGCAGGCCGCCCGCCGCTCAGTTGATAAAACAATTGTTCACTTTCCAGCCCCCTGCCCCCTGCCTAGCGCCCCCNTTGATGCACCGCGGTGGGAGTTGAGTGTTTTACCATCGGGCTGCTAATTGTGCATCGCAACCTGAAAGCCGGCACTGATCTTAATCTCGCTTTACGTCTTGGGAAACCCATCGGTCCTTGCAGAGAAGTATATCGGACCGGCCGATTACTTACAAGAGCTCTTAATTTTCGCGTCGTGGGTCTCTTGGATAAAAGTATGTCTTTACGAAACGTTCAATAAACCAAAGGCCGTTTCTTGCAAATGCAGGACCGAGTGAAATCCAAATGGACGTTTATGCTGAAAGCCCATCATGTGAAAATGAACTATATCTAAAGGAGTGAGACTCCTAAATGACGTATCTCGTTTGCGATGTGTAAAAATCTCCACTCTCATTTTATTTTTTAAAAAAAGAACAAATGGACACACTGAAAAAAAAGTTCGGTATAAATCCGAACTAGTTAAGATCATATGGAACCACGATTTTGTACGGTACACACGACCGAATTATTCGGTCTGTTCAGCCGAACTGTTCGGTCTACTGAACCGAACTGTAAGAATTGATTATGGTTTGGTCGCAAACCGAACAATTCGGTTGAGCAGACCGAATAATTCGGTTGTGTGCACCGAACAAAACCTGGTTCCATATGATCCTAACTAGTTCGGATTTACCGAACTTCTTTTTCAGTGCGTATTTCTGCCAAACGGAAACGTAGACGAGTGGGAAAGATGAGTGTGCTCGTTGAAGCTGCAGAAAAGAAAATGTACAAGTGGGCGTGATATTCCCTTTGGAGAGATGGAAAAGTGGGATTTTACATTCTGTCAAACGGAACTACGTGCCGCAACTTATGAGCCATGGGCATGGCAAAAGAGCCTTTTGGACAGGGCTCATGAGTTAATACGGCGGAAGGGCGACCGCGGTGGCAGCTTTGTCCCCGCTGACGTCATTGGCGCTTTATAATTCCCATTCGTTCTTATGGCCCTCAACTAACGAGCACACCTCTTCTTTCCCACCTTTCTCTGGTTCCGTTTGGCAGAAATACGTCCAAGTGTTCAATAAACCAAGTGCTGTTTCTTGCACGTGCAGTACCAAGTAAAACCCAAAATGGACGTTGGTGCTGAAAGGCCTCATGTGAAGATGAACTATATCTCAGGAGCTATCGACGGCAAACCTCCAAAGCACGTATTTAGTTTGCGGTGTGTAAAAATTTCCTCTCTAATTTTATTTTTTTAAAGAAAGAACAATGTGCAAATCCACATCATTTTTTTACATTTTTCCAGAATTTGCTTCTCACAAAAAAGAAAACTCAAGAAAGTTTTTAAGAATTGACCTTTAGTAGTTCTCCATTTAAAAAATAAAGTATAACAGGAAGTTTACAACGGCGCAAATCGAGATACGTGGTTTGGAAGTTAAGATTCGCCGTCGCTATGTAGCGCGCAAACCCAATGCACATAGTTCCTCTCAATTTGCTTAATTTTTACGTTGTTCCATTTCGCATTCATGCGAGGTGGAATACATGTAATTTAAGAGCATTTTCGGCAATGAAGTTTTTCCTTATGCAGAAGTTGAAATTATATTTAACAAATGCCACCCTTGCCATCTATAACTGAAAAGAACGCGTATCAAATAAAACACTTCCACGGAATATGTGTTATTTTTAAGAATCCCCTATGCTTAATGTTTTTTTGTACATAACTAATGTCTATTTGTTAAGCTATAAAGACTGTCTTCCCTTGCATTTTATTTTCATA